AGCAGTTTTGCAGGGATCTTCTGTCAAGAGGTCAGATCTGTATTCCTTTCTTTTTGAGGCTATCAAAAGACTTCTTTGAAATCCTGCACTGTATCTGTACAGAGAATGATTTCCCAAGAAGACACTCAGATTCCACCTTTCAGAGGTACTTTTTAAATTGTAACTAGGCAAGCAAGCGCACAGTGAATATCACCACTGAATGTCAATTGGTCTATATCTGACATTTTAAAAATTCTTTGAGAACTTTGATAAAACGGTCAACTTGTGTATACAAACCGTGAGCAAGGCAGCCTTAGAATCTACTTGCTGAGTATCTTCAGCTGATGCTCTTCTACTTTTGTTGTGAGCTAGAAAAGAAATGAATTCACAATCTGACTAGAGAATCAGACAAATATGTGTTTACTAAAATAGAGAATGTCTTGAATCCTTACTAATAAAATGAGCAACTGAGCCATTTAATCTAGCCCCTAAAAAAAGAATAAATAGATTTGCAAAATGTATTCTATTACTCTGTATGTCTTCCAAAAAGACAAAAACAAAATGGCTTGAAAAATATGTAAAATAATTTTAAAAGTAAACACCCTCACCTTAAAATCTAGTAATTTGTAAATAAATTATGTTAATCTGTAGCATCTAAAACTCCCTGTAATTTTTGCCATTTTAAAGTTACATTTTCCTTTTTTTATAGAACACTAGATTCTCTTCTGTGCAAAAAAGGACCAGAATAGGGGAACCTGACTATTTTGGAGGAAACAGCGCAACTGACTAAACAAATGCCCAAAGTAAAAAACCTTGAGAATATAAAGAAGATTATCCCTTACTCTCAGTTAAGAGTATTCTGATGTTTCAGGTTAAATATATATTCAGAGAAAAGTTTGATATTTATGTTGATGCACTCTTTGAAATAATGATTAAATATTATGCATTTATATAAAATCAGAAATAAAATTGGACTACCAGAGAAGTTAGTACACTTACATTGTTCTGAATGAACTGCCAAAGAGTTTTGGTGATAGTCTGTAAATCCACCACAAGAATTATCCTGTTCTATGTTGCAATCAGTTTGAAGACCATCCTGTATTATAAACATATATATTGTTAGGAGTTCATCATTCCTATTGTACTTTCCTTTCTACAGCATGGAAATCGGCTTAGCATTCAGCATTCAACTAGTACCATCTTTCAAATTTACAGCATATATACATTTTAAGGGTACCTTTATGGCTTGCTAAATTCACAAATACTTTCTTTTCAATTCAGTACAGATGTTAAAGATGAGCACATATTTACAACTATTTTGAGTAATAATTTAAGAAAGGGCAATAAGAATTTCTTTTCATAAACAAAATATTATTACATTATTCAAGAACAATTATGGTACAATCTATAAGTTAATTAACATTTTCAAATTCTAACTCTTAAGATCTGTAAAAATAAACGAAGTTAAATTTTAAAAGGAAATATTAAATTAGAATTTACTACTTCAGATTCTGAATATTTACTCCTAAAGAAAAGTAAATGAACACTGATATGCACAGTTGTAAATATATTGTAGCCATATATGAAAAGTGTATGATTAGCTCTCCAATAATTCAGTGTTACCAATTAAAGCCAATTTTCAAAGACATCAACGAGTCATTTGTGTCTTCTTATTCATCTTCCCTAGGAAGCTACAAAATCTCAACACTACTTCACTAGCTCTTTATAGACTGCATACGTTTAATATATTTGATCACCAAGTAACAAGCAAAGATAGCATTAATGTCTACAGGTCTAAAGAAAGCCAAAATTGCAGGCAAATGGAATGAAAGGAATGCACGAACTAGCACAGATCAGAAAAGGGCCACAAAAATCATTAAGGGTTTGGAATGTCTGCTATACGAGGACAGGTTAATAAAACTGGGACTTTTCATCTTAGAAAAGAGGAGACCGAGAGGGCTATGAGAAACTCTATAAAATCATGGCATGGAGAAAGTAAATAAGAAAAAGTTATTTACTTCTTCCCATAACACAAGAACTGGGATGGGGGGGGAGAGGGTCACCAAATGAAATTAACTAGTAGCAGACTTAAAACAAACAAAAGGAAGTATTTCTTCACACAACACACAGTCAACCTGTGCAACTCCTTGCCAGAGGAAGTTGAGAAGTCTAAGACTATTACGTGGTTCAAAAAAAGAACTAGATAAATTCATGGAGGATAGGTCCATCAATGGCTATTAACCAGGATAGGTAGGTGTCCCTAGCTTTTGTCTGTCAGAAGCTGGGCATGGATAACAGGAGAGAGATCATTTGATGATTACCTATTCTGTTCATTCCCTCTGCGGCACCTGACATTAGCCACTGCCAGAAGACAGGATATTGGGCTTGATGGACCTTTGGTCTGACTCAATATATGGTTCTTAGACACACAAAGTGGAGACACTTATTCTGGTTGATTACTAGAAAGTTTGGCATTGATCGATCCAATTGTTAAAATACCATCTCCAACAAAGACTAAAGGCTTGTGCTTCATCTTAAAGATGTGAGCAGACCCCCTAAGTCAGGGACACTATTTACATTATTCCTTTGCAGCATCATGGCTTACACAGGGATTAAGTTCATCCTCAATTTGTGCAGATGGTAGGTTTTAAAAATAACTAAACTTTTTGAACACATGCAGAGTCACAGCCCGGCCTCAAAACAGTACTCAATTTAAAGATTGGTGGGGGATTTTTGAGCAAAAATTAGAGACAGACCCTCATCACAGAATACACTCATATATATTCATGCACTTCATCTCTAGAGCATACTACCAGTCACCTGAAATTCAAAGATTATTTGAAGAAAATCCACAGATCCACGATTCTAAAGAGCAGAGTCATAGAAGTTAGAAGGTTGTGAACTGGACTTGTTTTCAGGCCTATGATTAATGGGATGTTGTGAGCTTTTTTAAAAAGAGTTCAACTTCTAAGGTTGGCTTGACCAAAATTATTTCTTTCATATTCCTAAACAGAAATATTATGCATGCACTCAGAGAAAGTGAGTGTTATCCATAGCTCCAATCTCACTGAAGTCTTAGGCTTTAATTACTATAATCATTATTGCTTTTGGTGTCTTGCAGCCATGGCTTCGCAGTGCTTATATTAGAAGTAACTACCTATCTACCAAACAATCAACCAAAGGGCAACCATTTTAAGTGTCCTGAAAATGCTGGTATGCTCAAAAAGGCATCCCTAGTATATGTTCTGAGCCTACTAATATAGCAAACTTACAGCTGTTCATGTCAAGAGGTTGTTCAGTGGTGTTTGATTCCAGACAACAGGTGTCACCAAAAGACTTGCAGCTAGAGCACTCCAGCCTGATGTACTGAGCTGACTTTGGAGCCTCCAAAAGGTAAAGAAGCAGCAGAGCAGAGGGGAACCAGCTCCAAGCACTTACACAGAATCTACTGTCTATTTTCCGGCAATCTCTGTTATTCAATATGCTCCCAACTGCAGATCCTCCTCCATAAACATAGAAGTTGTGCACATGCAATCACCTGTGGTGCTTAAGTACTCTAGTAGTGGAGAGGACTTGCTAGCTCCCAGCTTCATAGAGAGTGCTCCCAATAACAGGAAAGCCTGCCAGGAAAAGGATTCCTACCTACAGACCATCCAAGGGTCAGGGATTTTAGGTACCTAGCATCCTACTTGCAAGTGAACATTAAATTTTAATTAGCTTACTTGAGATCTCACCCTGGTCAGTAAAACTTGAGATTAATGTTATGTCCTTTCAGATTTTTGGCTTGAACTTGGCAAAGAGTTATTAGAAGAATTTACTAAATTTGGTAAATCATTTAAAGAAACAGCATAATTTATGAGTAGCCTATCAGATTAACTTCAAATCTGGTGGGAAAAATCTCTGTTGGTCATAGACCAGAGCCCTATCTGAGGGGATGTGAGGTTTTGGGGAGGAGAGAGAGCAGGAAGAAACTGGGAGTGTTGAGAACAGAGTTTTAATGGAAAGAAATTCAACCTTAGCTATGGTGTAGCTGCTATTATTGGTTGTGAGAAGTGGGGTAATGAACATGCAAATTGAAAAAGTTATTTATTCACACAAGTATCAATGTGTCTCCACTCTTTGGTGTAAACCTCCACTATCTCCAAAGTTCTCCTCTTCACACAAGAAGTTCTTGAGTTTCTTCCATACTCCTGCACAAATAAAAGCAACTCGCCAGATGCAATGGTCTCTCAACTTAACAAAACCATTTACTTGATATTTGGTCATCTCCATGCCCTCCAAAATAGCTCTCTTAGGCTACGTCTAGACTGCAAGCCTCTTTTGAAAAAGAGTGTCTAGACTACAACCAGAACTTCTGGAAAAGCAAGCCGCTCTTTTGAAAGAGGAAGTCTGGATACTCTCTTTCCAAAAAGCCCTGTTTGCATTCAAGAACACTTTTTTTCGAAAGAGCACTTTCGAAAAAAGGCATTCTTCTTCGTAAAATGAGGTTTACCGCGGTCGAAAAAAACCCTCCACGTTCTTTCGATTTAATTTCTAAAGAACTCTGTGGCAGTTTAGATGCAGGGGAAGTTTTTTCGAAAAAAGGCCACTTTTTTCAAAAGAACCCTTTAGTCTAGATACACCCTTAAAGTCTTCCTGTTGCTCCCATGGACTGAGCTACACAAATTAAAAGGCTTCAAGGTCACACACATTAATTGAACACATCAGGAAACATACTTCAGATCTGCAGTTTTCTAGAAGTGTTATGAATGGACACTGAAGTGGAATTCTCCAAACTATGTATCTAAAGCCTTACCTCAAATATTTAAGAATCTGTTGACATACCTTATTCATTCTTTTAAATATATCTTAACTTCTACAATGAACAAGCTTCATCTTCGATACTATAGTAACTGTAGGTTGAGATTTCCCTCCCGTGTCCTTTCAGTGGAAATTCAAGTTATATCTTGAGTCTTGACTATTTAAAGTGGACATTTCCAGTAGCATAAACAGATGCACATTTTATATCAGTATTCAGTTCAATTTTTTTTAGTAATACTCTTGACTAGCTCAGTACAAAAGGACATCATTTAATAGCAAGTGTATATCACAAGATCAGTCAAAGATAACCACCTAATCATGAAGATAATTCAGAAATAAGATTTTCTCCTTGGAATGTAGTGTGAACAATTTTAATAGAAACTGCCATAAGAAGTGAATTATAATATGTCACCTTATTTTACAAGTTGTAAAACAAGATTACAATTAATTTCAATCTTAAATATTGCAGTTGCTTTTAAGTTATGAATTTAAAATGGGCAATGATTCATTTTGTAACCATATAGTATATGTTGATAATGCAATAAATCAAGATTGGATGCTTTTTCTAAAAGATACATTCCAGGGGTTATTTTTGGGAAATTGTATGGCCTGTATTATACAGGGTTAAGAAAAGATAATCACAACCATTTCCTCTGGCCGTGGAATCTATATATTATTCTAATTAAAATGAAAGTATGATTTTTCAATTTACTTTAATGGCTAGACTAATGGTGGCCTCTATGAAGTTACATACTATCAAATCCTGTTACATTTTACTAATTTCATATTTTGCAGCAACATACTTTCATAGTTATGGTTGCATTGTTATTGACTGTTAGTAAATTTTTCACATAAATCTTGCCAAAAATCTATTCTCACATTTTCAAAAAATTACTATAAAGTAACTATACATGAAAAAGATGTCAATATCCACTACCAATGGCATTTTAAAAGTAAAGATTTTAGTCTTACCTCAATATTACCATTTTTGTCTTTAATTTTAATCGCTGACTCCTTAAATCGTAACTCCATGCTGTCTCTGTGACCTTTGACCCAGTAAATTGAAAAATATAAAGTATTCAGTATCAAAGATAAATACCAAAAAAAATTGGAACATGCCAGATATTCTATTATGCTGGGAACAGAAACTGTAATAAATGCTGCTAGTGTTTTCATTGAGAAAGACTTATAATGAAGAACTCTGAAGTAAATGGATATAAATCAGAAGTTAGTAGAGATAAGGAACTGTTGCATTTCCTACATTAAAAAGTATAAAATGCCACAACAATAAAATTCATACAATATAAAAAAATTACTACTTCAAGAAAATAAATTAGATAGTTTCAAAGGTAACCTTCATATACAATTTTATTTGATATTCTGAGTCTATTTTACATAAATAGAAAAATATAGAAAAAGAAGATTTTCTTGTGGTAGGTTTTTAAAATATACACTTCATCCGAATAGTTACAGAAAATATCAGAATTCCACCAATGCGCATGCCTTTATATGAAAAACATAACTGATTGACAAGATATAACTGCACCACATCTGAATTTCTATTATATTTTATATTTATTTATAATGGATGAAGAGTATATTCTAAATTCCAAAAGGGCCATTTAATAAAGGCATGGCTCAAGTAAATAAGTATACTGAGAACTCAGCTTTATTTGTGCTGTGATATGTTTAGCTTTAAAGACCTGATTCAGCTATAGAGTCAGATTTCAAATCCTTTGTTGTTTTTAAAAATACCACAAACTAGTAATATAAAGGTTTTCTGTATTGTAATGAACCTGCTAATTATTACACAATTAAATGCTTTGCCACCAATCTAAAAGTTCAAAAGATGTTAACATCTAAACATTGTGGCAACAGAACTTAAACGTAACTTGAAATAGTCACTATTACTTGGAAAAAAGTGCTTTAGCTAGGTAACACTTGCATAGTTGCTTGACAGGTTAAGACTATGATCCTCCAGTTGTATTTGGGTATAATTTAAGTATTTGGACTCTTAATTTACAATATTTTGTTAGTATACCAACACCTATTTTTTAAATGAATCTGCCACTGTTTTATTAATCAAAAAAGGTCTACATAATCTAATAAGAACATGCATCATTTTACTATTCTGTAAAAATTGAAGAAGCATGTAACAGTGAATTAAGAGAGACTTTGGAAAGTTTTCTAAATATTACTGTATTAAGAACAGTGGTAGATCCCGGTCACAGAAGTATTGATGAGGATAGAATAGGAAGGATCCCTGAGATTGAGACAGTTACCACGAGATATTTATTCATGATTCCATTAGCCAAAACAAATCTTTTGCAATTTCTCTTTAAAAAAAAATAGACAATATTTTTTACTTGGGCAAAAAGCGGGACCTTAAACTTAGGGCTACTAGAGTTCAACTGAGCTGTAGAAATGATAATATTAAGAAACTGTTATTCATAAATAGCTGTCCAATGTCGGTCTGAAAAATATTGTCTATGTGACAGAATTATAAAGAAATTATAATTTTAAAGTTAAACAGCCATACAATTTAGAGAAAATAGAAAGGTTTAAAAAGCAAAGCACAATGATAGAATAAAGTCACCTACAACCAGAACAAACCCCAAATATCATACAATTCTTGATAAATCAAACCTTGTGGTTTCGATTTGGTCCATAGTTTTTGAAGAAGTCCTGTAATGATGTTAGAATTTAAATCTCTATTTTTTGTTTCCATTGCTTGAACATGCTGGCTTTTGAAAACTTCATCTTTAACCTTCAGTTTTTCATGTGAACCACCATTTGGGTCACAGTTTATTGCTGATGCTTGGTTGCTGGATGACTGAGGTAGCTTCTTGTGGATACCGTTCTCAGAGAACTGTTCATCATGTGTATCAGCTCTGCTGCTGCAGTTGTAATCATTAGAGTCATCGTCATCATGAATAAAACCACAATTAACGTATCCTCCACTTTCAACACAAGGCTGGGTGAAAGCAAGGCAAGCAGAGCCAGAAGCAAGAGGATAAGAGCAGCTACTAATGAGTTCAGGACATTCACTATTTATTTGGTTATACTTACCTACAAATGCGCCAAATTCTACAATATTATCTCCTTCTGTAGCCTTAGATAAAACTGCAGCTTCATTGTTTGTTGATTCCAGCTGACTTTTGCAGCTCGGCTGAGATGGAGTGCTAACAAAAAGTTTAGCTGTTGGTGAAGACAGATGTGGCATGCTGTTTGATGAATTGCCTAATTTTTTATTTTTGTTAATGGATTTTGAGGTCTCTGCACCCTGTAATCTTTGTCGAAGTTCTGGAGGAGAAACAGCACTTAGAAATAAGGCACTGCCTGAGGAACCTGCCTCTTGAAAGTTTACTTCTTCCCCCCTAGGAACTGTAACTAAATCTTGATCAACTGTCTGATGTTGGATCTCTCTTTCATTGTGCATAGAAATGTTACAAAATAAAGCATTATTTTCAAGGTTTCCTTGTGGAAAAGAAGAACCATACACATTTCCAATGTTTTTTTTCCACACTGAAGATCTTAGAGGACCATCATCAATAAGATTTTGTGCCAAATGTTTTGAAATGCTTAACTCCCGCGTAATTTCATTATGGACTTTGCTGGCTTCCGAAGCCTTTTGTGCAGTTAGTGTTTTTAGCGTATCCACAGTGAGAGCAGAGAGATCTTGTAGGTGACCAATCTGAGAATCTAAAGAGTTCAATGACCGTTTGATGTAGTTGACTCGATCACCAACTTCTTTGATCTGAATGGGGGGGGGGGGGGGGAGAAAAAAAAAAGGTAAACTTTTTGTTCTCAAGCTATAAACAAGAAGCACTTCTGCTATACTTTACCAGTTTGGAAAAGGAAAAATGTATTATCTCTAATTTAAAAAGGTTTAGGGTGGTTTAGTTGATTTCAGTGGACTTGTAGAAAAAAGAATACTTGTACAGGTTGCAACTCTATACCCTGGGAAACTCTGGTCTGGCAGGACCACAGATGTCACAGGATCAGAGAATCCTGGCATACTGCAGGGTATGGGTCGCCCCAGTAGTCCAGCACGATGCAGAGGGAAGCCCAGGAGCCCAGCACTCAGGGGATTCAGTTCAGCTGGGTGGGGAAACTGGGAAACCTGCTGCGCAGCTCAGCTGTTCAGGGTTGGTGGGGCAGAGAGTTAGGAAGGCCAGAATGCAGTCCAGCTTGGTGAGTGAGAAGGATCAGAAGGGAGGCAGGAAGCCCTGTACACAGTGCAGCTGGGCTACTGGGGGAGCTGGTAAGCCCGGTGGGGCAGTAGCACCAGCAGCAAGGGAGCCAGAAATGATCTCCACTGGTCCAACAAAATCTCTCATCCAGGACCTGTCAGGTCCTGAAGGTGCAGGATTAGAGAGATCTAACCAGTACATAAATAGGCATCAAGGAACAAATGCACAAACCAGCACATTTCCTAGTATTATTGGTTGACACCCATTCTGATACATTTGAGAATAACTCTTTAAAGGTCAGTAGCTCTTCTACAACTCAGAAATAAAGACAGCCTACAACAGTCTTGTAATAATTTCTACACAGCCAAGAAAAAGTGTCATGCAAAACAGTCATGAATACTTTGTACATGCAACGACAACATTTCCTGATAATGGGGTTTTAAAAATAAGAGAAAGTTACTCACCTGATGTAGTAACTGAGGTTCTTCTTGATGGTTGTCCCTGTGGGTGCTCTACCTTAGGTGTTTTCAGTGCCGCTGAACATTTAGTCAGAGATTTAAGACAGCTGCACATGTGTGCACAGTCGGCTGCACATGTGGGCAGCTGGCACGTGCTGTTTGTAACGGCTATTGCTCGTGCGCAGCCAACTGACCCCTTAGTTCCTTCTCTGCACAGAAACAGAGGAATTCTGGAGCAGAGGTGAGGAAGGGTGGGTGGTGGAGAACCCAGAAGGACAACCATCTCAAAGAACCCTCAGTTACTGTACCACGTGAGTAACCTTCGCTTTTTTCTCTGAGAAGCGTCCTTGAGAGTGCTCCGTCTTAGGTGATTATGAAGCACTGTTTTTGCCCGGTAAGTCTTTATGGACCGTGGACAATATAGCATGTCCGAAACATGTATCCATAGCTGATTAAGAGTCAATGGCATAATGTTGGGTAAATGTGAGAGCCGAAGCCCTTGTAGCAGCTCTGCAAATGTCTCTGATAGGTACGTTTGAGAAATGCAGTGGAAGCTGCCATTGCTCTAGTATAGTGTGTCCTTATGGATGTTGGGGGGCTCAAAGTTAAAAACAGAGTATAAGAGACAGCTACTATCTGCTGTCCATTTGTATAATCTCTCTTTGGAGATAGATGTGTCCTGTAATCTCTCTGCAACAGCTATAGAGTATCTGGTAGATTTCCTGAACGATTTGGTCCTTTATAAGTAAAAGGGTAATGGCCTATGACATCCAATGTGCGAAGCATGGTTTCCTTGTTGTCGGTGTGAGGAAGAAGACTGGTAAGTATATGGTTTCATTGCAATGAAATCACATAGGTATCTTGAGAAGGAATTTAGAGTGCAGCCAGAGGACAACCTTGTCCTTGTGGAATATGGTACAAGGAGGATCAGTCATCAGGGCTCCCAGTTCACCAATCTGTGTGCCAAAATAATAGCTACTAAGAATGCCACTTTCATGGAGAAGTGCAACAGGGCGCATGTGGCCATGGGTTCGCAGGGCTTCCCCCCTTAGTGCTCTGAGTACAAGGTTTAGGTGCCATGCTGGAGTTGGGGTTATGATTGAAGGGTACATGTCTTATAGCCCCCTTATAAAACGTTTAACTGTGGGATGTGCAAACAGAGAATTCATGAATTGTGGAGTGTAATGCTGTAATCACAGCAAGATGCACTCTTCTGGAGCTGAGGGAGAGCTGTGACGACTTGAGAGATAATAGATGTAAAATTTCCAGAATACCGACTATCAAAAGTGAGAGGTTATGTGAACTGCACCAAAGGGTGAATCTGTGCCACTTACAAATGTATGTCTTTCTTGTAGATGGCCTATGAGTATTTAAGATAATCTGTTGTACAGCATCTGAACACCTTGATTCAAGAGAGGTCAGCCAGCGATGAGCCATGCTTCTAAGTGAAGGTTCTGGATATTGGGATGACGAAGCCTGCCCCCATCTTGAGTGAGGAGAGTGGAAACTGAAGGGAAGTGCCACGGAGAAGCTTGGATCTTCTGAAGCAGGTAAGGGAACCATGTCTGTCTCAACCAGTTTGGAGCTACCAGTATGATCCTGGCTCTGTCCTGTTTTAGTTTCAGAATCACCTTGTAGAGCAAGGGCAGTGGTGGGAAGCCATACACGAGTGTTTCATCCTACTTTATTGTGAATGTGTCCCCCAAAGATTGGGGACCTAGATCTGCTCTGGAGCATTACATGCCGCATATGGTATTGTTGTTTGCAAAAAGGTCTATAGTGGGGTATCCCCATCATTTGAACACCAGTCTCAACATGCTCAGGTTACTTTCCCATTTGTGGCTTAGGGTAAACAGTCTGCTGAGATTGTCCGCTAGGGAGTTCTCTGCGCTTGGGGAGATAGAATGCTCTGAGGGTGATATTGCGCAGAATGCATCATTCCCAGAGGTGTACTGTTTCTCAATATAGTGGGAAAGAGCAGGCTCTGCTCTGGTGATTGACACAGAACATAGTTGTCAAGTTGTCCATAAGTACATGTACTGACTTGTCGTGGATGAAGCCAGCAAAATGTTGGCAGGCATTGTGAACTGCTCGGAATTCCAAGAGGTTGATATGGAGTTTGGGCTCTTCTGGTGATCATCAGCCTTGGACAACTTGTTGACCGAAGTGGGTTCCCCACCCTAATAGTGATGCATCTGTGGTTACTGTGACCGGGAGAGTCACAGTACATCCTGAAAAGATGACCCCCTTCAGTAAGCAGTAGTTCAGACATTGGAAGATAATGACTCCTCTTCACCGAAGGTGTGCTGCGGCCACCACGAAGATCTGGGAAAAAAACTATTGGTGTTGTGAAAAGTCCAAAGGCGAGCACAGGATAGCAAATCTTAGGAAGTGTCTGTGTGTTGGGTGTATCGAGATGTGGAAGCATGCATCCCGTAGGTTAAGGGTGGACAGCCAGTCTCCCTTCTCTAAGGCTGGCTGACAGCCTGTATCACTAGGGAATTGGGCTTTGGATGGGAGAATAAAGAATCTGCCTCCTGTGGTGCGACATAATATTTTGTCAGATCTTCTGCAGGTCATTGGGACAGTGGCAGGTGTCTGCCATGTTGTTTTCGCCAAGTTCATGAGAGTGGCATTTATAGGTAATGCCACCTTAGCAGCCAGGAAGGCGTGTAAAATGTTTGTTAACTTGTGCTGGGTCTCTGACAAGTTAAAAAGTGATATGTCCAGGGCATCCGCAACTTGTCTGTACAGCTCCTGGAACAGCTTGAAGTCATCTTCTTAGGTTGGGAATGGAGGCATTATTGTATCATCTGGTAATGAGGACAATATATGGGTGGTGGTAGAGAGTCTGGTGTTGACTCCTCATCCCCTATCTCCTATTCCTCTCCCTCCTCTGTTCTTGAGACGGTGGCAGAGGGTGCAGGAGACATTTGGGACCTTGCTCCAGAGATTCTCTGCAGTTGAGGCTGGGCTTGCTGTAGCCTATATGTAGCCTAAAGGTCCCACAGTACAGCTAGCTGGGAGGGGCTGGTAAAAGTGGTGATCACCATTGCAGTGCTTGCCACTGAACAGGGATGCTGCACCTTCTGTGACGAATGAACTTGGTGTGTGCACAGTACTGGAATCATTGTCATCACTGGATAGCGACAGGGGAGGAACTGACCCTGATGGTGTCACAGGCAGGGAAAAAATGAGATGTACTGGGCAATGGCGTTCCTGACACTGAAGTTACTATGAGATCCACTGTGGTGGACTGTTGCGGTGCCTTTGTGCTCAGTGCCAGAACCGGCGCAAGTATAGTTTCTGGCAGGGGCTTAGCTAATTGATCCGAGCTTTTGCTCAGCACCGGTGGTGCCGGGTGCTTAGCATGAGCCTACAATGTAGAATACTTGATCTGAGGAGGCTGTGCCAACTGCTTACTCTGCACCAAAGATATGCTTGGTGGAAGCATCACTGAGTTCGGTGCTGATGCTGACCGCTGCTTTGTTGGTGCCGACGGAGTTCACTTTGGGTTGGAATGTGTTGAGGTCTTAGAGCTAGAGCAAGTCTGTTTTTTTGCCCCTCGGGTAGTCTCTGTACCGGACATGTCCGGAACCTTGCTGTCTGGTGCCTTGTGTGCTGCCCGTGCCAAGGTTGATTTCTTTGAAATGTGAGTGCTTTTCTCGGGAGACTCGCTCCTAGAGGATGAATGAGAACACTTTTTGGCTTGATCAGCTGTATTATCTGAGGGTCTCACCCTTGAGGGAGTGACTTCTCAGAACTCACAACAGACAAAAGCTGCCTGGGTAGCAAGGAGTGTTTGGGGTCAGATGCAGACCGTACCACTTTATCCACTGACAAATTTAAGCTGGAGTTCTCTGGCCTTTCTGGTCCTCTCAATCAATTTCTTGCAGTGAGGGCACTTGTTCGTTGAGTGTCCCTGCCCAATGCACTGCACACACTGAGCATGGCCATCCAATATGGGTATTGACAACCTACATGTCAGACTCTGCTTAAAGCTTGGTGAGCTAGGAATGTCCTTAATTTTTTAAAAGAGTATGCAGGTTCCGACTATGGCCAACAGCAGCAGAGAAGGAACTGAGGAGTCGGTTGGCTGCACGTGGCGCAGTAGTCATTACAAACGGCATGTGCCAGCTGCCCACATGCGCAACCAACAGAAGGCACTACTGTCATAAATCGCCAACTAAAAGTGCAGCAGTGCTGAAAACATCTAAGGTGGAGCACCCACAGGGACACGCCTCAAAGAAGTCAAAGTTTTTATTTAAATTTTTAAGTTTCTACATAAATTTTCTACCTTTCAAATGTGACTCGAATTCTCTCTTCACTTCCAGAATGGAATTTATCATCTTTTTCATTGAAATACATTTCAACACACAGCTCTTCAAAGTCATGAAGTTTCTTTTGGTCTTCTTCGGTTAGGAAGAGTTCTAAAGAAAGAGGAAAACAACAATTATTTGAAGATGAGAAAGCTACTGAACATCACGAATACCTAAAATAAGTAGCCACGTTGATCAATGGGATAGGGTAAAAGAGGATGCTACACAGTTCTATAGAACTGGGTGGAAAATGGGCTTTACTCATGGTGAAAAACTTCAATTTTTTCAACAGAGGGAAAAGATTGATATCTGAAAAATTCCAGCAGAAACCAAAAGTTTCAATTATGAAATTCCACTGAGGGAGTTGTAGTTGGGGTGCCTCCTGCCAGCATTCTCTTTCAGTTGGGCTCCCTGAGACTAGACAGTATCTCCCATAATATACCACAGTACTCTGTGGTAAATTCACTTTGATTTTTTTTTTCAAAAGTTCAAGTTCTCCAAGGAAAGCAGATACCACTCATGAAATAAATGTTTTTAACTGAAAACCCAATTTACTCTCCAAACACATTTTTGACAGAAAAAAATGTACCCAACCCTACCAAACACCATAAAAGTAAGATGTGTTTGAAAGATTTATTTAAAGCTAAATGGAATTGAAGGAGAGGGTAGGTCTATAGTATAGTATAAAGTCAAAGTTTTTAAAACAACTTTAAAATAGGAAAATTGGATCACGACATACAAGGAACTAGTACAGCTTGAATCTCTCTGAACCGGGACACCCTCCTCTGGAAACATCCAGAGAACCCCAGTGGTCGGGAGTTTGACAGCAGGAGTGCCAGCGACTGGGAGCCCTGCCAAAGCCAGGGAGCTCTGTAGGGCTGGTGGTGGTGGGGCTAGGAGTCCTGGTAGGAACCAGGACCCCAGCTGGAGCTGGGGCTGAGGGACCAGTGTTCACTTCCCCTTAGCTAGCAAATTCTTTCATTTGGGACCAGTCAGGTAGAGTGTCAGGACCAGGGAGGTCCAACCTGTACTAACAAAATTAAACAAGAAACAATAAAAAATGAAATATATAAAAATAATGAAAATAATCAATGAACAGGATGGACTACTGCAGTGGTTCTCAAACTTTTTGGCCCAGGGCACACCTGGCTCAATGCAAACCTTTCCATGGACCACTAGCTGCTAATGGAAACTTGCCATTGATTGCATAATTATGCCCGAGCCATTTTGCTAGTGCTGCAGCTAGGGAGAACGGTTTAGTCAGTAAGAAAGGAAACATTAATTTAAATTATTAAACAGATTAAGCATTTTAATTCTCATGTTAGTTTACCAAACTTCATTTTAAATGAAGTAAAACATTAATTTATGTCCAATACAAAATATTTCAATGTTTTCTTGATTTATGGCAGGGGTGGGGAACCTTTTTGGGTTAGGGGCCACTGACCCATAGAAAAATCAGTTGGAGACCACACAAGTGAGAAGCAAAAAAACCCTTCAAAACCCCCCAACCCTCACTAATGTGGCCCCCCAACTGAGACACCTCACTGCTCTGGCACTCCAGCTCCATGGGGCGAGAGAGGGGGACAGGAACTGAGGTTCAGGGCTTCCCATAGGCCAGATTTACTCTTCTGGAGTTCCAGGGTTAGTGTATTTTATGGACCCCCCTAGGCTCTGGCATGGGAACAAATACAAGGGGTTCAGTGTGTGGGACAAGGCTGCCATTGAGTGGGAAAGCGATGCAGGAACTGGGTGGGAGGTGGGGTGCAGGTGCGAGTTCTGGGTGGGAGGTGGGGTGCAGGAGCAGGCTGGGAGTAGGGTGTCTGGCCAGGAGGAAGAGGGCAAGAGCAAGGGTGGGTGGAGGAACAGGGTGGGGGTAGAGTGTGTCTGGCTGCGAGGAGGGTGCAAAAGCAGCCTGAGAGTAGTGTGTCCAGCCAGGGGGAGGGTGCAGGAGCAGGCTGAAGGTTCAGCGTCTCGGTGGAGGGAGGGCAGCAAAGAGGTAGGGTTGCAGGATCTGGACATGATGGGAAGGGGGGGCACTTACTTGATTTCATGCCCTGCGCGGCTGCAAGGAATGGCTTCCCGTTGCTCCCATTGGCTGGAACTGGCCACTGGGAGCAGTGGGGAAAGCATCCACGCACCGTGTCCATGATCTCCTGTTCCCCCAGCCAGGGGAGGAGAGCAGCAGCATACCAAGTCACTTGTGGCTCTGATTCTTCCCCATGAGCTAGATCCAGCAGGGAGGCTTGGGGCTCTCACTGCCCTCCCATACCAGAGTGAAGCCAGCACTGGCGCTCCAACATGCAGGGGGAGGAGGGAGCACAAGGCTGGAGCACTAGCATGGGCTCCCTGTTATGGGGAGAAGAGTGGCATGAGCTTGAGCTGCAGACCACCTGAAAGATGGCCACGGACCATTAGTGGTCCCCTGATGACAGTTTGAGAACTACTGGAATAGTGCAAGGGACTATTTTATTTTACTTACACATAGTTCATGCAAACAGAAAGCTTTTTCCTCCTAGCTGTCCATTACCTTTCTATTTAGTTTTAAAGTAAAGAGGTCTCTGACACTCAATTTATCAATTTTAACCCCAAGTGCTATATACAGAAGAATTTTAATAGATACAAACAGAACTGAAATCTAAAGTTTGGCATAGAATGTTACTGGTAACATGATAGTCGAAAATGCCAGACATCATAGTTGTGGTGCTGTCCCATAATACAAGACTTATAAATTAACTTCCATGATAAATATTTTAAATATTTTATGGTATTTGTTTTATCATAATGCATGACAGCTCAACTACTGTAAATTATGTAAATAAGAAAATATATAGTATGTTCTCCACATATTTTAATGAAGAATAGTAACCAAAAAGTTACTATAAGTTGGACCTCCCTGGTTCCTTCCTGGTTGACCTGCTGGCGCCCCTAACACTGGCCCGGCACAGCTCCCCACCTTGCTGCCCCAGGTTCTCCCAGGGTTCCCGGTGGGGACTGCTTGGCTGCTGCTGCGTGTTCCGGCCCTGCTGCTGCAAGAGGTTCCTCAGCCAGTCCTACCCCACCGCTAGGACCACCCTGCTGCCACTGGGGATTCCAGCTAGCCCCACTGCCACTGGGGGTTTCCCAGGATTCCTTGCTGGGGCTGCCAGACTGCTGATCGCTCCACTGCAATTGGGGGTTCCCCGGCTGGGGCCAGAACTCACCAGCCACCTGTCCCCACTAACACTAGGTGTTCCCTGGCCAGGGCAGGAGCTCCCCAAATGCCGCCTGGCTCCACTGATGCCAGGGGTACGTTGGCCGGGGTTGGGGCTCCTCGGCCAGGGTGGTAGGGCTCCTCAAATGCTGCCTGGCCCAGCCGTGACCCCCTCATTCCCTGCGTTACTTCTGCCTCTGGGGTTCTTTGGTCCAGCAAGATCTGTGGCTCTGCTGGACCACAGATGTTGCGGGACCAGAAAGTCCCAGATTTGGGACATTCAACCTGTACTGGTTTCTTGACAATTTTAATCACAGAAAAAAGTAAAGCTAAATAATTGCTTGGATAAAATTGTTCTTACTTGGTCCATCTGAAGTCTTGTCTGTCTTTCTTCTTTTACATATACAACAAAACAAGGAAGCCATATGACTAAGAATAATAAGAGGTGGAGGCAGAACAGGTTTTTCATGGTAGGCCATAATGAAATGATAGCGTTGATACTTCCATACGATATTGGAAATTGCCTTTACTTGTAAATACACATTGCTGAAGAGAGGAAAATATACAAGCATTTTTAACACAAAGATATTAGAAGTTATTGCTTCTGATAGTAACTATTACTGTATTCTGAATTTTACAAAACAAATGTAGAGGAAATGTACAGATTATACATAACTATTTTCATTTTACCGGACAAAAAAATTAAATTTTAAAATTGAACTTAGAAGTGCATCAATGGAAGGCTATATTATGGAAAGAACAAATTATACAGTGAAAGCTTTTTTTTTTTTAATCTACCACATTGGGGCAATGGGGGTTAGTGGTAAGTGAAAAAAATCTGTATAACTATGAGGGAGGGAGGGAAGGGGGGGAGGGGAGAGAGAGAGACTCTGTGTGTGTGTGTGTGTGTGTGAGGGGAGCGTGGTGCTGAGGTGTGGGCTCTGGGATGGGGCACAGGGGAGGAGCTGAACACAGGAGGAGTTTTGAGATGTCAGATTCAGGAAGCATTCACATCACATGACTCCACATTAGTGGCAACTTGTTTTTGCTGTTCCTGGTGGAGGCGTGACTAGGCAGCTCTGTGCTCTGCCCCCATTCTGAGCACTGGTTCTGTAGTTCCCAGGGCCAGGAAACTGCAGACAATGGGAACAGTGTGGGTGGTGCCTGCAGGCGGAGGGAGCACAAAGCTGCCCAGCTATGCCTCCACTACTTGTGGAGAGCCATCTGAGGTGAGTGCCCCCAGATCAGGCACCTAAAATTTCTCACACCCTAACACCCACATTCCAAACTAGGGATGTTAGATAGCAATTAATTTAATAATCACGTAACCACATCAAATTGTAGTGGTTAGACGACTATTCTACAGTCCTCAGGGGTGGGCCTGGCAGCCAGTGTGCTCTGGTCTCCCTCCCAGGGAGCCCCCTGCCATCCCATGCTGCTGCCTCTCACACAGAGGTAGCAACGTGAGGTGGCAACATGAGGTGGCAGCAGCCCCTGTCCACTGGGGGCCCAAACTTTGTTTTTTAAATAAAAGCTTTGCATGTGTCTTGGTTTAGGACTAAATCTTTAGAAGAGCACCAAACAAGTAAACTGCTCAACCGAAGACTAGGATTTCCTGAAACACTGCAGGGATAAATGTGTCCTTTTTGTTATATTGCAACTAGATTGCAATTTTATAATTGTTTTAGAAGACCTATTATTTTCAAATCTAATATCCTACATAATGAGACTCATAAATGCTAAGACCTGAAGCCATGGAGAGTGCAAAGCAGGAGACATATTTACCCTCTCATCTCTAGGATCCCTCCATTAATACACTAAGAATAAGTCTTCTGTGCAAACTTAATCATCATAACCTAACTGGCAATCATTGGGAGAGGAACAGCCGCCTAGTTATAGTTACAATAATTATGTACCAGTTGTTAGAGGTATTATAGAACATGCTCAATAGCAACACATTTTTCTATTAAAACTGCAGCAGTTTTGTAACTACGGGACAAAAGTGCACATATGTTGGTATGCATCTGTGTTGTGACTGTGTGCAAACTAGGTTAAACACCCAACTAGTTACATGTTTAATTAGCCAGTTGCACACACACAATATCCCTGTAAGTTATGCAGTCCTATAAATATAGTAATTGCTTGCAATAGTTACTGTAGTAAGAACACAATCTGAACCACTTAGAACGTACCTGCCCTTGTACTTCAGAAAATATGAGGAGGTTATTCACCTTTAGCAGTAACCAACGTTCTTTGACCAGCGCCACAGACCAGAGTTTTCACAGCAGTACCTGGGGGTCCGCACATGCGCAGCATGCATGGCATGCGGTTATCGTACGCCATCACTGCGCATTCACAGTCCCTCTCCCCCTCAGTTCCTTCTCTATCTGGAAACCGGGCCTGAAAAAGGTCTCTGAAGTAGAGGGCAGGAAGGGGGACAGGGACGCTCATCTCGAAGAACATCAGTTACTGCTAAAGGTGAGTAACCTCCTCCTCTTCGAAAGATGTCCTTGTGAGTGCGCCACAGCAGGTGACTGACTGAAAAGCAGTATGTTCCTATGGAGGTAGGGACTTTGGATCTGGTAAGTATGCTGTAGATAATATAGCCTTGGCTACTTTGGTTGATGAAAGAGGTTCTTGAGAAAGTGCATACTATTTGGCAAATGTTTGGTCAAAAGCCCATGTGGCTGCAGCACATCCGTTCTTGATGAGAAACTTTGCAGAGGTAGGGCATGCATGTGGCTATGGTCCTGGTGGAATGGGTATGTATCGAAGTAGGTGGCATTGATTATTGTGTTGGTAATACATTCTGATGCAGTCAGAAATCTAGTGTGATAGTCTGAGAATAGATCTGCTATTCTTTATTATGTTCCGCTAGAGAAATAAACAGTCTGGGCGAGGATATGAAAGGCCTTGTTCTATGAATGTAAAAGGAAAGTGCCCTGTGACATCAAGGGTATGCATCTTTGCTTCAAAGGGATTGGAACTGGTTTGGGAAAGAATTCAGGTAAGTGAATGGTCTGGTTTATGTGGAAAGATTAACATCTCGTGGAAAGGAACTTGGGATGAATGCACAGTTATTTTATCTTTGAAAAAGGTGGTATATGGTGTGTATGTTGGGGGGGGGGTCTGCCATGAGGGCAGCCATCTCTCTCCCCTCTTCCTGGCTGATGGAATAGCCACTACAAAGGCAGTTTTCATTGACAAATAAAGGAATGAGAATGGGGCCATCAGTACAAATGGAGGTTTCATGAGGATGTTAATCACCAATTTCCATGGTTCATTTGGAGAGGTTATGTCAGGATATAATGCCTGCAGGCCCTTCAAGAAACATTTGGTCATTGGATGTGTAGAGATTGTAGTATTGTCAGTTTTTGCATGGAAGGTTGTGATAGCTGCCAAATATACCTTAATGGAGCTGGTGGACAGATGTGCAAGAGGTAGTCCAAGATTACAGGTAATGGGGCTGTCTCTGGAGAGATGTTATGAGGAATAGCACCAATGGACGAATCGTGACCATTTGTAGCTATATGTTTTCCGAGTCGACATAGCTCTACTGTGTAACAGTACATTTGGTACTTGCTCTGCACACTGGAGCTCTATCCCAGAGAGCCATCCAGGCACCAGACTTTTAGGTGAAGTCTGAGAAATTGGGGGTGGTGAATCTGCAGCCCTGACTGATACAACAGCTTGGAATGATGTGGTAGGATGATAGGGGGAAATATGGCCATTCTGTTGAGGAAAGGAAACCACGGCTGTCTGGGCTGGCATGCGGCTATAAGAATGATTCTTACTCTGTCCCTCCTTATTTTGTGTATTCTCCTGTTGAGAAGGGGAGTTGGAGGGAAGGCATATAGCAGATGATGGTTTCATTTGAGAATGAGAGCATCTCCAAGGGAGCCCTTGTCTATGCTGGCTCTGGAGCAGTACGCAGGACACTTTTTGTTGGTGTTTGTGGAGAAAAGGTCTAGCAAGGGGTGTCCCCATTGACCAAATATTGTTGCCAGTACCCTGTCATCTACCTACCATTCTTGAGACAGGGTTCTGCTTAATGTGTTGACTATGGTATTTAGGATGCCGAGGAGGTAATCCCATGCTTGAGGTACCAGTTCAACAGGGCAATAGCCTCTGTACAGAGGACATGAGAACAGGCATCTGTTTATATAAACACGCATGCAATGTTGTCTGTATATATTCTGACATGTCTGCCAGATATTGCTGGTAGGAAGTGTTGGCAAGTGAGCGTGACAGCTCTGAGCTCCGGAACATTTACGTGGAGTGTCCTTTCTGTTGGTGTCCAGAGACCCTGTGTTATAAACTTTGCCATGTATGCTCCCCATCCTGTAAGAGACACATCTGTAGTGATGACCACCGAGGGTTGCGGTGCTTGGAACGTGACTTTTTGTCCACCATGGTATTGCACTTTTTACCTGTAAGGGAATGGAAAGATTCTTGGTGAGGGGGTGATGGTTTGGTTTATAAACTGTTCTGAGCCAGCCCTGTAAGCATTGCATTAACAGATATGCATTCGATACTATGGGGTTGCATGATGCCATTTGGCTGGAGCAATTGAAGGCAGTCGTTGACTGTGACTTGAGGTATTAGGTGTAATTTGAGAACTAAGTCCCAGATTTTCTCGAATCTGTCATGTGGCAAAGAAGCTATGGCAGTTCTTGCATCAAGCTATGCTCCTATGAATTGTATTGATTGTACTGGCCTAGAGAATAGAAGCATTCCATACTCAGGAGAGTACTGCAACGAGAATCCATACACTGAAGTAGGGAAGATAATATCATCTTGTTTCCTTAGGTAGGTGGTGGCTATTGTACGCGTTTTGGAAAAGTCTCAATGCCGTGGAGAGTCCAAATGATAGGACATTGGTAGTGGTGTGTACATAGGACAAAGCGGAGAACATTTATGAGCAGGGTGGATCGTTACATGGAAGAAGGTATCCTGTAAGTCAGAGATGAAAACCAACTGCCCAGCTCCAGTGCTGGAATAATGGTGACTTTAGCCACCATCTAAAACTTTTGCCTTTTTATGTGTTTGTTGACGGCTCCAAGATCTAAAATTGGGTGACATCCTCCATTCTTTTTCTGTGAGAGAAATAATAGTAGAAACCGCCCCCCTCATGTCCATGTGGGATCACTTCTATAGCACCCAACCAGAGAGGATAAATCTCCTGCCTTAACATCAAATCATAAAAGTGGTCCCTGAAGAGGACTGGGGTGAGTTGAAGTGGGGGGACAGAGATAATGGGAATGGCGTATCCCAAAAGGATTTTATCAGATGTTATGCCTTGCCATTTGGTATAAAAGGGCAGAAGGCTGTGATTCAATGTTTTATTATTGATTGGCAACTGTGGAGTGGGTGAAAGTGTTTTCGGTCCCACAACGGAGACTTCAAATTTGTTTATTTTGTTGAGGTGGCTGGTTCGTAGCGCTGTTCTGATTGCGTCTACGTTGTTGTCTGTCACGACCACATTGCTGTTGTGGTTGGTAGTCTTGTCTTTGATGCTGGTACATGTATGGGGGATACCCTGGTCT